ATTTGTTAAGATACAGGTATCTTCTGGTTAATAAGATGATTATATATTATTGTTGAAATATGAGTTACTAAGAATATGAGATAATCATATAGTTCTAAATATATAATTAATAATGTATTTAAGTATGTATGCATATGCGTATGTAATTGTATCTTCTTATCACTGTTACTTTCTTATTGTTAGCAGAAGGGTTAAAGGTTAGAACAAACGATAATATTTTGCTTGAGTATTCAAAGGCACTAATCTTACTATCGCACTCTTTCTTTTTTTATATACAGCCTTCATTCTTTGAAGATATGTAATCTTTCATATAATGAACCTTCACTTTCTTTAGCATAACTGTTATATATATACACTTATACTCTTCTTGCGCTTTTATTTTAAACTTTTGCTTGCACATATATTTGTACTCTTCTTTACTTTTATCTTGCACTTTCGATTGCACATATACTTGTGCTCTTCTTGTACTATTATCTTGTACTTTTGTTTGTACTTTTATTTTATTTTTTTTTTTACTTAGTTTTTTTTTTTTTTTTAACGAATTAGAATTCAGTATAACTAAAAAAAAGCTTACAAAACTTTATATAACATAAAACTATAATAATATTTTTTTTTTGCAACAAAACTTTTCTGGTTCTTTTTTTTTCTATTATTTTGGCTTTAACTTTTTCAATGACAAGAAGACTCTTCACTAGCATAGAAAATATTTTACTAGTAGTTGATAAGTTAGGTAAACCTTCATATGATAGAATTGAAATGATAATAATTCTAAATTTGAAAAGAATACTGAAGGTAAACTTAGAATTGAACTTGAGAAAGATATGGAAAATAAACCCAATATTAAACTTGACGAAGACATTGATATTAAACTTGACAAGGATGTTGATATTAATGGTTAACTATATAATGACAAATGCATCTCTAATAATACTGATAATAATCATCTTGGGCACCTATCTCTAATTCATATTGAACTTTATTGTGGAAAAACTTTTGAAACATAGAAAGAATATCAAGAGACACTAGAATATTATGCATGTCAAAATAATTTTGTGATTAGAAAGAAGCAGATAGATAATAGCCATGATCCACACCAACATACCTGGAGCTGTGAATGATCTGGTAAATATGTATTACATAAAACTACTCCATCTAAAAAGCAAAGAAATAAGAGATCAAAAAAATTGGTTGTTCTTTTCTTGTGAATGTGTCCAAGAGTAAGAGCCTAATAATGAAACTATAATTAAGTTGACGTCAATGCGTCTTGTACACAGTCACTAGCTAGTTTCTGAAAATGCTAGCTTTGCTATTTACTACCAAAAACTTATTACAGAAATGAAAGAACTTATTGAAAGCTATACGCTTTGTAATCTTGATATACCATCTCAGATTAAGTCAGGATCATACAAGCCGTATAGAACTTTAAATATTTACAAATGTCTCCTTAAGATTAGGGTTAGGGTGAGTACTAACATAGTTTTTTTTTTTGCATTATTAAGATTAGTATAAAAGGTAATTATAGAAAATTAATTTTTTTTTCTTTTGAATTAGACCATGCAAGCTGTGTAGAACCTTTTTGACTTATACATCTTTATTTAAAAGTTAGGATTAGGGTAAGTATTAGCATAGTTTTTTTTGTATTAAGGTTTGGATAAAAGGTGGTTATAAGAAATTAGATTTTTTTCTTTTAAATTAAACTGTGCAAGCTATACAGAACTTCTCTGAACTTTTACAAGCCTTTTAAAGGTTAGGTTTAGAGTAAATACCAGTATAGTTCTTTTTGTATTATTATAGTTAGAATAAAACATGGTTATAGAAAATTAATTTTTTTATTTTGAATTAGGCCATGAATACTATATTGAACTTCACTGAAATTTTACAAACACCTTATTTGAAAGTTAGGGTCAGGGTGAGTTCTAGCATAGTTTTTTTTTATATTGTTAAGGTTAGTATAAAAGATAGTTATAGAAATTTTTTTTTGATTCAGGATCGTACATGCTATATAGAACTTTTTTAGAATATACAAGATTATATCAAATTTGGCTAAAATATAGTATAGGTGACCCCTACCCTAAAATTTAGAGTATACACCCTAAAAATTGGGGTATATACCCCCAAAAAATAGAGTGCATATTTTATATGATCCTGTCTGGACAAAAAAGCACTCTATATCTTAAAAATAGAGGTCACGTGACATATAATACACCCTAAAAAATGGGATATATACTCCAAAAAATAGGGTATCCCTTAAACCGTTCCAAGTTAGCAGGCATATTTAGCTGCTAAAATGTTAAAATTGTTATGTCTGATCTATTTTT